GATGTGGGTTAACGTGGTAGAACATGGTTAACTTAGGGTATATGTGGGTTAACGAGGTAGAACATGGCTAATTTATGGTAGATGTGGGTTAACGTGGTGGAACATGGCTAACTTATGGTAGATGTGTGTTAACGTGGTAGAACATGATTAACTTAGGGTAGATGTGTGTTAACGTAGTAGAACATGGCTAACTTAGGGTAGATGTGGGTTAACGTGGTAGAACATGATTAACTTATGGTAGATGTGTGTTAACGTGGTAGAACATGGCTAACTTAGGGTAGATGTGGGTCAACGTGGTAGAACATGGCTAACTTAGGGTAGATGTGGGTCAACGTGGTAGAACATGGCTAACTTAGGGTAGATGTGGGTCAAGGTGGTATAACATGGCTAACTTAGGGTAGATGTGGGTAAACGTGGTAGAACATGGCTAACTTAGGGTAGATGTGGGTCAACGTAGTACAAGAAGGTCAACTTAAGGTAGAAGGGGTTAACCTGGAAAAATAAAGCTGACCAGGACATATCGTAAGTCTTACATGACCCTTATAGCATGAATATTGTCAGCCATTTTGTCGTGTACATGGCATTCAACCATGCCGTATACACTCGATTGCAAAAACGTTGACACCTTGAAAGCATAAACTGTGAACGATGAGACCCAATGGTTTTATGGGTATAAGTGTTCCAAATTTATTTGCATAATATTCTATTCTCGTGCCACGGTTGATAACCAAAATTAGTTGCACGTGGTCAGTGATGGAAACGGTTCAAGCTTTCCTAAAAGTGTCTAAGCTGGCCAACAAGGGCCAATTTGAGCGATTTTCAATCCGATATTTGCCTAAGTTCATATCCGTCAATGAACTAAAGCAATATTTACTTGAAAATTATTCAGAAGAATTAAGTCCCGCTTCTAATTGCACGTCGCTAACTATCGGCTACATGAGTGACGGGCGCCGAAAATGTGACATCAAAACAGAAAAACAGTTGGACGACGCCTACAGAAGTGTTAAGAATGGATGGATCACCCTATGGGTGGATCCACACAGTTCCTTCAAACGAAAACAGGGCGAGATAGAAAGAAGGGAAGCCGGTAAAGCAAAGAGGAAGAGAAATTCAGGTATGAATGGAAAACCATATTGCCTGTCTTTCCCGCTTGTTACAAAATTACTCAATGTTTAATGGAAACAATGTCCTCCTTTTTTGTTTTTCATTCAGACGACACTATCGACAGCGGTGACAGTATGGAAGAGGACGACCATGACTCCTACGAAAACAGACTCGCGCGACTGCGAGAAAAACACGGAGGAACATTAGCGGACTTTAAACTGAAATGTTGGGCAAAAA